TCATTCTAGAGAGTCAAATAACCAACTCAATACCTTCTGGTCTTGTTTATGTTCAGTACATGCTTCGACATACAGAGACAACATGTATTGTCCTTTACGCAATCCTCTGAATTTTTTCACTCTTTTTTAAAAATGTAAGCAAACTACCTGCCATATATAATTTGTGAATTTGATAACAAATAACATGTTCTTTTCATCTGACACATGAAAAAATTGATGGAAAACTTACAGTTTCTGTAAATTTGGCAATCCATTAAAGGCGTTGTCTGGAATGGTTGTTATCTGGTTGGCAAGTAGCTCTCTGAAAGAATATTCACCAACTCAGTAAAATTTACACTTTTTTATTTGATTACACATTTATAAAATTATCATTTAATTTTTCTTAAGATATTCAGTGTATAATGAATTATAAGTTATTTTAAACTAGTTAAAAATGCAGCGCTAGATAACAATAATACTGAAATGAACCAAATTCAAAAGACTGATAACATGTAAGGAGACAATCATTTTGCAGGTTAAAAGTTTTTAAAGAGTTATCTGACCTTGGTATTAAGAAGAAAATTTTTGTTTTCTTAAATTTTCTGCGGTAGATAATTTTTATTTATTTCTTATTTTAATAAAGAGGTAGTTTTTGCATATTTTCACCGAGAGAGCCATGTTCGGGTGTTTTGTTTTTTACAGGTGAATTTCTAGTTTTAACTTTACCATACGTACATTTATGACTGAGGATTGAATAAACATTGACCAATGAATTTCACTATACTAATTATGCCCCCGTAATCGAAAATTTCGGAGGTTTTGAGTTTTTGTCATGTCCGTCTCTCCGTCTGTCTCTATGTCTTTCTGTTTGTCTTTTTGTCCGAAAAAAAATTTAACCTAGCCCTTAATTTTTGATTAAGCGAAGATATGACTTCAATATTTCACATGTGAAATCCTTTTGACACGACCTTTTTGGATATCGCCAAATTCAACCTTTTGACCTTGATTTTGGAGTTTTACCCACTCAAACACAAAATTTAAAATGCTTACTTTGGCCATAACTTTTGAACGGTAGATTATAGGACTTTTATACTATATATATATATTTTTTATTGCAAGACTTTTAATTGGATAACATCAACTTTGACCTTTTGACCTTGACCTTGGAAATTTACGTACGAATGAAAAAACTAACTTTGGCAATAACTTTTGAACGGTCATGGATAGAGCTTTCATGCATTACATATGTAATTCTTGAGAGAAAACGCTTCATTGGATAATATGATCTTTGACCCTTTGACGTTGAGCTTGGAGTTTGACTCACTTTTAAAAAACAAATATTTACCATATCTTTTAAAGGGTTAGAGCTAGTGCTTTCATATTTTATGTATTTAATTCTTGTGACAAGACCTTACATTTGATATCAAGACCTTTGACATTTCAACATTTACCTTAGAGTTTGACCTACTTTTGTATTTTTTCAACATTGACCATAACTTTTAAACGGGTAGGGTTAAAGCTTTCATTCTTCACATATGTATTTGTTATGGAAAGACCTTTCATAAAATACCAATAACTTTGATCTTCTGACCTTGGAGATTTCTGGAATTATAAAAAGCATTAACCTTGGTAACATATTTTCAAGAATAAGGGCTAGGGCTTTCACATACGTATTTGTAATTCTTGTAACAAGACCTTTCATTCAATACCAATAACCTTGACCTTCTGACCTTTATATTGGAGTTTAATTTATTTTATAAATCTTTTATCCATGGCCATAACTTTCGAATGGAAACGACTACAGCTTGCATTCTTCACACATGTGTTCTTTGTCGAAATACCTTTCATTGAATACCAATAATATTGACCTTCTGACCCTGATCTTGAAGATTGGTGTAGTTTTGAAAAAACTTTAACCTGGCTATAATTGGGAACAGATGGTAATAGAGCTTTCATATTTCACAACTGTATTTCCAGATAGGCGACCCTACTTTGGGTATCAATATCTTAAATTTGTTTTTTAAAAAGTTAAATCTTCATTATGTTGCCATACGGGGGCATCAGTGTTTTCACAAACACATCTTGTTTTATGCATGTTTTTTATTACTTGTGCAATATATGAAGTAAGAAACCCGCCAAAACAATTTCATTGTGTATATTAAATATTAGTTAGTACACATTATTCTTCTTTCTGTTCGTGACATGATGGTGTCAAAGTACGAAGTTACGGTATATTAATCAGTGACAAGGTGACAAAGTTACGGTATATTAACCAGAGACAAGGTGACAAATTAACGGTATATTAATCAGTGACAAGGTGACTAAGTTATGGTATATTAACCAGTGACAAGGTGACACAGTTATGGTAATCAGTGGAAATGTGACAAATTTTCGGTGTATTAATAGGATTTAGAAGAGAATTTTTTTTCGGATTTGCTTAGCTTATAATATTTTGAAATTATAAATCTGGACGGAAACAAATAGAGGACGACGCATGTGATTTAACCCCCTTTTACCGGGTAATAGCTAGCTGTCGGGAAACGATCCTCGGTCCGAAGCTCTGTTCACTTTTACAGATCTTGCGTCTTGAAAAATCAAGTAGGGAATACCTTCTACAATATTTACTTAGTTTATAATATTTCTATAAAATGAAAAAAAAATGAAATAGGAAATACCTCTTAAAATATTTATTAAATTTATAATATTTCTATAAAATGAAGCTTCCAAACAGCGTGTCTAAGTTTTATTTTTACTTAGAGACTTTTATATGACCCACTTTCTGCTTTTTTTTTTGCAAACACGACGTGCAATTTGAATTACTCCCCTTTGTGTCGCCAGCTTACATCGACAGATTTTGGTTCTATATTCGTTATAACATTTGATATTAATTAACAAACACACAGTATGATTGAAATTGTCACATTTTTTGTCAAATGTCGCAAGAAAAAAATCATGTAGGATTCTGTTCGCAGCAAAAATATGTTGCAAGCTTTATTTCATAATTTTACGGTCAACATTCTAATTGATTTACACATGAAAAACAATGACTTTCTTTGACTATATCGTAGGAAAACGTACACAAGTAATACATTCAGGTTACATCCTGTGTATATAGATAGGTATACACTATGTTGGGCAAAAGGTTGTATGGTTGGCGTTGGGGGAACAACGTTTCCAACGTTGGAGCTTCACCAAGCCAACTTCCTCGACCATGCAGAATTGATGTTGGCCCAACGTTGGCCCACTGTTTGTAATACACTAAAGAAAGTGTTTTTTTAAAGTTGGTAGTAGTATGTTGACCCAACGTTGGCCCAGTGTTTGTAATACGCCCTTAAAGAAAGTGTCTTTTAAAGTTGATAGTAGTATGTTGGCCCAACGTTGGCCCGATGTTTGTAATACACCCATAAAGAATGCGTCTTATCAAGTTGATAGTAGTTTGTTGGCCCAACGTATTTTGTAAAAATGTCTTATCAAATTGGCAGTAGTGTTGGCCTTGGCCCGATGTTTGTAATACACCCTTAAAGAAAGTGTCTTATCAAGTTGGAAGTAGGATGTTGGCCCGACGTTGGCCCGATGTTAGCACGAGTGTTATTTTGTTTAGGTGTTTCAAAATGGGATATTTATATTGGGTCAACGCTGGCCCAATTATTACACTGCCAACTAAATGATGGTGTCATTTGTAAAGATAGCGTTGGTTCTAATTAAGTTTTGATTTATATGCACTTGAAATAATAAAGAGGACATTCTATGTTCATGCTTTTAATTGTGTGACTGTTTTTATTACTATATTTTCAATATTTTAACTTTGAACTTAAGTGATCACATCACCAAAGTGTGTTTTATTATATTTTTTTGACTTATAAATTTACAAATAAAACCCTTGAAATAATGATTTTTTTTTCATGAGCATATGAAATTTTTTTAATAAGTTCTATCAGGAACAGGATGTGAATGAAGCCTACATATACATAAATCAAAATGACACAGTTATTTAAAAGATTTCAAAGATTGGAGAGCAATCAAATAAAAACTGTGGAGTGAACTGTCGTTTTGCAAAATTGCATGAAATTTAAATTTGTAATAACACTACAATTTGCCATCTGAAATTGTAAAAAAGGGTCAACATTGGGCCATCAGTAGTTAATTTGTTTTAATATACTGACATTTCAACATAGCGGGAATGTGTGTTGGCTGTAAGTTGGCATACACTAATAACTACATTGGCCCAACAATATGCCATCTCACATTTCAACGTTGCGCCAACGTTGGGCCAACCTAACCAACCAGTTATTAAGGTTGGTTGTTAGTTGCCATACAATTATACCTACGTTGGCCCAACATTATGCCAACATGTTGGACCAACGTTGGGCCGAAAAAATTACCGTGCTTGGCCACAGTGGGCACTATCATGGAATTTTATTTTATACAATATAATATTTTGAAGAGTGTAACCTATATAAAGACTATAGGTTTGAAACCGCAGCCTTTTAGATTTATATGCTAAACCGACGTTATAATTTTGATATTTAAAATGTACCTGTAAGTGCTTCATCTGTGGTTTCCATATAATCAGCTGGCGATTAAAAAAAGACACGTAACCTTGAATTATGCCTTTGCATTACTAATTAATTCCTCAAATACATTAAGATCATTGACATTTTTTCAATCAGGTTTAACCTTGAAATATTTAATGATTTCCATGGCGAAAATGACCTAATTGTCATCACCATGCAAAATAATTCCATGCTTCCTGAACGTAGAAAAGTTGAGAACATAACATGGGTCTCATTTTATAGTTAACTAATCAAAGTTTCTTTGCATATAAATTTTATTCAATTTAACTCAAGGTTTTTATTATAATACAGATCAATTTACACGACGATTGTCATTAAATGAATACCAAGGTACCTATTTCTTCACGTGCAAAGAAATTTTTGCAGGCAATTTCAACTGATAAAAAAGTTTTTTTCAGTAAGATAGAACTTACATCTAAAAGATACAAAAAAGATTTGAGGTGGGTAAATCAGTTAAATGTTGTTTTCCATTCGCCTGAAATCATCACTTTTCATGAAAATTGACAAAGAGTTATTTCCCTTTGCTGACTCTTTTGCACTGAAGACAAAAAATAGTTGACTCTTCTGTCAAAAGAAGTTTCTAACAACATGTGACAAAACAGACACCAGGAAAATAAAATGTTTAAGTTGTGAGTGACAAAGTAAGTCATCAATCAATTAATGAAAATGAAAGAGACAGGTCTTGTGAAATACTGACTAGAGGGATTCCATCTATTCTAAAGACCCATACGTACATTATGCAGTTATGATGCAAATGGAAGAAAACGTTAAAAAGCAGTGGATACGGCCACCCGGAAATCAGTAGGAATGGATCTACCCTAGGAACAGGTAAAAAAAATGTAGAAATTTGTGTTTACTTTAGAAAGCAAATAAACTTACTCTTGAAAATCATATAACTATTATTTAGGAGGATAATGTAATAGAAGATGTAACTTAAGTTTGTTTGTATGAAATGAAAAAAATTAATATGTGTCTTCGGGTACAAACTACATTGTTGTTAAGTGTGTGTGTGTGTGTGTTTTATTTGGGGAGGGGGCTAAAAATATTTAGGGAGGTGTGTATAAATTAGAGACGGACATAAACGCATGCATATTAGAAGTCTCTATTCAGTTTGACTCTGAACCCCCCTCCCCATCATTTTTGATTAATTTTAGCAATATATACACACTTTAATAAAATATATGTATAAAAATGATACGCCCTAGTTTGTAAGTATGTATTCATGCAAATTTATTTCATTTTAATAATTAATAATAAATTTATTTTTAGATGTACCAATACAGTTCAAACTATGAAAATAAAGATGAAAAGATACATTGAGAATCCATTTTCAGTAAAAGCAGGTGAATTTTTTTTTAAATATTAAAATTATCTGGTAAGGAAATGAACATTCATCATAATTTAATGCTAATAAAATAAACATTCATCATAATTTAATGCTAATAACTACATGTACCACAGCAAAATTAAATCTTTTATCAATGTCATGATTTTTTTCTTATAAAGTCTTGGGATACAGTAATTAAAAAAAAGAATCAAAATTGGTTGTATAACCTACTATGATTGTATTGTTACATTTTAGAACTGTGACACAGGAGCATCACCTTTGAAAGGTTACAAATGTTACAAATGACACCAATGAAGGATACATGAGCAACTGTAAGTACACTGTTACATAATTTAATTCAATGTTCTCAACAGACTCAACACATGATGTATGGTTTAATTAAAAATTTATCAAAGAGGTTTTAGAATTTTTATTGTTCTATTTATTAAAAGAAATATACTCTCACCTATACTTGATTCACAAGCAAATTTAATATTAATTGTGGGTACACCTTATAACTTACAAGTATTCAATCAAAATTTGTTCATGAAAGTTTTTCTTGTATTTACAAATTCATAAATTGAATATATATTAAACTATTATGCAACTGTACTTGGATACATGTATGTATGAAATAGTATGAATATCCCTAACATACATAATGCATATATGTATGATTTATGCAAGAAAGTTGCATATAAAGCCTCTAAATAACTATTATGCAACTGTACTTGGATACATGTATGTATGAAATAGTATGAATATCCCTAACATACATAATGCATATATGTATGATTTATGCCAGAAAGTTGCATTAAAGTTGCAAGTAATTATAACTATAAAGAATAGTCTTAGGATACCCTAAAAAGAAAAACAAAGCTTTTTGAATCAGTGATTTTTTTAGGGCCCATTTAGCCTAATTGACGCTGAAATTCCGGGCCCCAGTCCCAATTGAAAATATGCCTGTATTTTCCCAAAATGTTTGCAAGTGTTTAAATTTTCCTTTTTTAACACAAGAAAAACTTACAAAATTAATAAACAAAGTGATTGCAAATTCTGTTTGTATATTTCATATTTTCTTTTGGAGGGAAATGAAGAAATCAGGTCAGAATTTTGGTTTGTTTAGCCATGTTGGTTGCTTTTATTTCTTCATAATTAAAATATTTTTGATTTTTTTTCATGTAAATACTATTGTTTTTGTTGCAAGTAATTAGATAATTCATACCAAGAATAGTCTTAAATTTTTATAATCATTGTTTGTTCAAGTAATAGGAAGACAAAAACAAAACTTTTTGACAATGCTTTTAAAGTGACTGGGTTTTCTTAATCACAAAAGGGTCCAGATTCCCAATTTAAGTTAATTGACGCATCGAAATTCCTTTCAAACTTTTCAAGGGCAAAAACACCATGGCCCCAAAAATACAAAGTACTGAAAAAAAAACACTGAAGAGTATCCAGTATACAGCAATGAACTGCATAGTTGCAAGTGTTTACGAAATAATCTTTGCTTTTATGTTTTTATTAGCTTTTTTAACACAAAGGTTATATACCAGAAACAGGATCGAGGCGGTTACAAAATTAATAAACAAAGACAGAAAACTTGCAAGTGATCCTGCAAACATATGAGAACTAAACACCAGACAGTATCATTACCAAACAGTATTCTTTTGGAGGAAGAAATTCTTTTAGAATCACCTGTCAGTTTTGAATACTTTTAATATTCCACAGAGCCAAAATGAATTTGAACTACCTTATATATATTGGATAAATTCACTAAATTGTTTAGGTTGCTTTTTCCATGTTCCATTGGTTATACTAAAATATTTTTGAGGTATTTTTTTCAAGGTGTAAATATAACAATTGGTTTAGAATTAAATACATGATAGTGAAAATATATCAATTTTGTTTTCACATGAAAAAAAAAAATGTTGTAGATAAATAATGAATTTAAATTAATTGGTATTAGATTATGTTCCTTTTATTCCACACATAAGGAAAAAATCAAGAAGATGATTATTTCAAGTGTCACTTTTTAAACCCACTTTCTTCCCTGGACAGCCATATATTCACCACATACAGCAAAACACTTGCTGTGGTACAAACTCGACATATATGTGAATTTATAGATAAAGCGACAGATATATCCTTGAGCTTGAAATCCCCAACTATATAAATTTAACACATTCCTTATACAGATATAACAAATTATGAATATAACAAAGTAATTTCGAATGGTCCCTATGCCTTTGTTATAACTAAGTTTAATTACTGTAACAGTAAATGTCTGATGTAGAAAAAAATGGTAACTTTAAGTTTAGCTATTTCAACAAAATTGTTATGTAACATTTTTTTTTTTTTTTTTTTTTTTACATTTTGACATATAAATACACATTTTAGATAATGTTCAGAATAAAGATTTTCTTGATTAATAATTTGAAAAAAAGACTGTATTAATATAAAAGTTGTTATATATACACGTACTGTAGAGCACATAATTTTTGCAATTATTTTAACCATTATTTTCACAACATTGTCAAAGTAATTTCGACTCTTTGTTATAACTAAGTTTAATTACTGTAACAGTAAATGTCATTTTTCAAAAATTGGTGTCAACTTTTTAAGCTATCTCAAAAAATTGTTACATATTTTACGTGAGAATTAATTTTCTGAAAGCACAAAGTCTTGTTTCATAGCAGGATAATAATGTTCTCGTGAATAAAACTGATCAACAGAATACATATGAGTATGTGTATGTTTAGATTCAACACCTTTTCTCCATTTTGTGTCTAATATTTGAAAATATTGATTACTGGGCAAAGTTCCTGTGCAAAGTTTTCAGTATATTGTTGGTGTTGCAAGGTCTTAAAGATGCATACTAGTATGTGCCAGTCTAGAATTTTCTTGTTTTTCCTCAAGATAATAGCATTAATCCAATCTTAGAATCTTATTTTGCTTGGTTTCACTGTGTAACTGTGGAAACTGTAAAAATATGTATTTGAGATCAAACATTTTATTGTTTTTCTTAATTTGTTATTAACTTTTGGTCAAGTTACGTCTAGAATTAGTGAAAACTTTGCATTTTTCAGTACTTAAATTGGCTTCCAAATATACCCATATTTACCACTGACTTACATGTACAAATAATTTTCTAAACATTTTCTGTGTTGCATAAAATTAAAACAAGGTGTGTAGTTTTTGTGAGAATAATTTGTTGGTTTTTCTTAGATTTTATCAAATTTTCAGTAGAGATTTCAAGTAGCCAAAAGTCTCAATTTTTAAAAAATTTCTGGCTGTTTCAATAGCAACCAGGATACCTAGCAACCAAATTTTATTTAATATTTTTATTTCTGGTATCAAGTAGTACTAATTGGAAAAGCTTCATCGGAATCAGTGCATGACAAATAAGTTTAATTGTTTATAGGAAATTGCTATCAAAGAGCTTATTTTTGCTAGATTTTGAGTTATCTGCCCTTTGTAAGGGAGCAAGGGATCATTGAGGAACAATAATAAAACAATTAATTTTGATTTATTTAGATTAATAGCTTTTAAAAAAATGAAACCATTTATTATTCATTAGATTTCTCATATTTATAAGAAAAAACTGTTTGGAAAAGACATTTTATTAAACAACTAGTGTCTGGTAAAATTTTGAAAAAGAAACAAATTATTTGGCAAAATGCCAATTTTCGAAGTTAAAAATATTTTAAACGAATAAAATACCCACTCTACTTTTTATAAAAGTTGAATAACATTATTATAATGTTTTTAAAATTTCAGTTGATTTTTTCTAATAGTGCTTACAATTTTTTGATAGACCACTTGAAAAATAGGGTAAAATGTCCATTTTCGAAATGTTAGAATTTGGTCATCTTTGAGCCTCCAATTGAAAAATTTGCTGTGACATTTAGAATTTTTTTTTTATTTTTGTAATATATTGCTCCATATGTTCTGTTCATATAATGTATTATTTATCTTATAAAAATAAAGATGATTATACCATATGAAATGAATTATACAGCATTTTTATGTGTGAAATGGGCATAAATGGGGCCAAAATCTATTTTTGTCCGTTACTATGGCAACCAAGGGGGTAACCTTAATTTTGAATGCTGATTATGTCAAACTGTATGGGCATTAATCATCTGAAAAAGTTTCATTGAAATCGCCGATGGTGTGTGCCACAGCCCTACCGTAAGATTTTGGTCCTTACAGAGAATTGATGTTAATGCTCATGACCAGTGTTTGCAAACAATTTTGAATACGCAAATTTATGTAAGGTACAGTACCTCATTCCTTTATAACAAGACTGATCAAATACTAGAATTTCTGTCTACATAAAAACAAGAGGCAAAGGGAGTCAATAGTCACCTGATAATTATTCAACAATGTAAAAGATTCATTAATATAAAACAAAATAAACTGATAGATGAAGCAATGTCGACCAAAAGCAAGGCCAATATAATAATCAGGGTTCTACGAAATATTTAATTTTACAGTTAGAAGCATTTCATGGATTATTTCTACTATCGTCGTGTAAAGTAACAAAACAAAAGTGACTCGGCAAAATACAGAAAATCGGTGTACCAAATCCATTCTTAAATCTAAAGGCGGGTTTGTCCGGTTGGCTAAAAATGCTTTCTCCTTTTACACAATGTGTCCAATCTCTGAAATTTCTGGGGTTCGTGTTTTATGCCCTGTCCAACTTTTAGTTAGTAGCATTTCATGGAGTAGATCTACTTTCCCCTCAGTTGTCACTATCGCTGTGCAAAGTAACAAAACAATAGTGATTCGGCAAAATACACTATATCGGTGTCCCAAATCTATTTTTAAAGCTAAAGGCGGATTTAAATGGTAGACTAGGAATGTTTTCTCCTTTTACGTAATTTGTTCAATCTCTGAAATTCCCGAAGGTCCGTATTTTATACACTGTCCCACGCTTTACTAAGTCGATGTAAACAGAAATAAATCAATTGTACTCCATTTTGTGAAAGGGCTTCCTGGTACTACTCATCTTTTGAAAACTATATTTTTTGTAGAATTTGTTGTGTTCATGGTGGATGGAGGCGTGTTACAACGCAAAATTTAATAACAACGCGAAATGTAATAAACCTGATTTATAACATTTTGCGTTATTACATTTTGCGTTGAAATGAACGCAGAATGTAATAACGCAAAATGTAACAACACACTTTTGAGGATTATTACATTTCGAGTTTTTACATTTTGCGTCGAGATCAACGCAAAATGTAATAACGTAAAATGTAATAACACAAATTTGGGATTATTACATTTTGCGTTGTTACATTTTGCGTCGAGATTAAGCAAAAGGCAGGA